CCCTCCCTCCCTCCCATCCTCCCTCCCTCCCCGCCTTCCCTCTGAGCTTCCCGGCTCCACTCCAATGAAGCGCATCTTAACGAAACGGGGGTGCACTAGGGGTTTGTCACTTAGTAATTCAATATGATCCGTCAGTTCATGGACATTTAAGGAGTTCAGTCTGATGTTTTCTGGGAAAAAAAAGTTTTCAAAAGTATTTTCTCTACATAGTACTGAAATACATGATTCATTAAAACAGAAAACAGCAATTAAAAAAAAAAAAGACACTCCCCAAGCGGAAGCCCGCATAGCTCTGTGTGATCATCAATCAATAATAATAATAATAATAATAATAATAAATCAAAGGGTAAATGAAAAAAAAACACACTGAAGATATAAATACGAAAACAAAACGGGCCGGGCGTTCTTTAAAAAATGTGCAAAAATGCAGTTTTTTTCTGGGCGATTGCTTGCGTTCTGTTTTTCGCCAGGAGCACAAATTCTAAATAAAAAGCTACCAAGATGTGTGATGTTTTAAAAAAAAGAACAAACAATAATCAAGAAACAAACAAACAAAAAATCACCCCACGTGTAGACTTTTCCCCAAGTGACCTCCGTGCTTGGGAAAGTCCATGTCGTGAGGATGGGGTCAGTGACTGTCACTGAGCACAGGAGACACGTGACGAAATACTGATCACCTGTTTCTATCTTCTCTTGACAGGCCCTGGAAATTTCAAGTTAGATGAATGTGTAGACCCGGAAAACGCCGACACTTCTATTTGTTTAGAGTGGAACATAATTGGAAGAATGAAGGGTTGTTTGACAAATAATATTAAGTACCGCCATCAGTGTGGTAAGAATACAGCATGTTTCAGAGAACGTTTTTAAGAAATATGTTTCTATTGATTTCTGAGAGGAAGGGAGAGGGAGAGAGAGAAACATCCATGATGAGAGAGAATCATGGATCAGCTGCCCCCTGCACGCCCCACACTGGGGATCGAGCCCAAAACCTGAGCACGTGCCTTGACCGGGAATCGAACCCTGACCACTCCCCCCTCCCCCAACTGGTTCCTGGGTAAACGCTTAACACTGAACCACACTGGCCGGGCCATTAGAGAAATTTTGTGGTAGGAAATTATTTCCTTCCTTCCTTCCTTCCTTCTTTTTCTCGCTGTTCTTTTTTCTCTTCCTCCTCCTCCCCCTCTTCCTCCTCCTCCTCCACTTTCTCCTTCTCCTCCTTCTTCTTCTTCTTCTTCTTCTTCTTCTTCTTCTTCTTCTTCTTCTTCTTCTTCTTCTTCTTCTTCTTCTTCTTCTTCTTCTTCTTCTTCTTCTTCTTCTTCTTCTTCTTCTCTCTCTCTCTCTCACTCTCTCTCTCTCTCTCTCATTGCTTGGAGTCAAATCTTGTACTCTCTACACCACCCCAATTTACAAAATAGACAACTACTCCCCCTGAAAAATAACTTCTGAAATAGTAGACGTCCAGTACAGCCATTTTCTTGGCAACCGTTAAACACAAGGTGCAGAGAAGGGGGTTATAAGAAAAATGATGACGACGCAGATGCTGCGAGAAGGAGAAGGGAAAGGATCGTAAGGTCCCAGGACTCGGGCATTCCCTGGGCCAGCCCCCTCCTCTCCCACCGACATTCACAAGCAAAGCTTCTAGATCAGTGGTTCTCAGCCTTCTGGCCCTTTAAGTACAGTTCCTCACGTTGTGACCCAACCATACAATTATTTTCGTGGCTACCTCATCACTGTCATGTTGCTACTGTGATGAACCGTCGTGTAAATACCTGACATGCAGGATGGTCTGAGGTGACCCCTGTGAAAGGGTCGTTGGACCGCCAAAGGAGTTGCGACCCACAGATTGAAAACTA